CTGCAGCAAGCCAAGCCTATGACTATGGCCACTACAGCTTCCGCGTGTGCGCACGGCATGCTTGAGTCGGCCTTAAGATTCTGGAATTCGGGCTCCAACTTGCTGACTGCGATCTCCATCTTCTGCCTTGCACCGAATATTTGAGCAAAACTGCCCTGAACTGAACGGCTTACACGCTGGCAGCAGGTATCAGAACGCAAGGATGAGGATGAAGTCTTAAAGGAACCACAAGGGTGCCATGACGAATCCCACATTAGGAGCAAGGGATGACATTCTGTGTAAGCTATCGGGAGAGATCATGACGGGGAATCCATGGAGGCTCTGTGAGCTACCTGCGGAAGAAGTACCATGACAGCGCACAAGAAGTGTGTATAAGGTTTTTGTAGACCCCCGAACTAACAAAGCCGCACCCCAACCTGAAGCTCCGAGATCGAAACCTTCGTAGACTACGTAGACGCTTCAGTCCCCCCAAAAAAACCAAACTCCCAAATCCCAGTTTGCTGCGTTGAGTCCACTTGTCGTTTGGGGCTCAGAAGGAAAGCCAACGCCGCAAACTTGCAAGGGGCGAGAGCATCAACTGCTGACGCTTGAACAGATAAGCTTCTGAGCATGCCCTGGGGCCGAATTAGATCAACCCTTGAACAAACCGCCAAGCCACGGAAGAAGTGCCAGGGCCACGGGCAGCATGCCAGAGATGCAGCCAGTGATCAGCCTACAACAGAGTTTTACAGATGAATCGGGGGGCCAGCCTTCTCGAGTCGCTTCACACGCACCTGACGTGAATCTGAAGGGTGCGGACAAGCTGCACGATCTCGGTAATGCCACCCAGGATGCCAGCTGTCAGGACCGGTGCGATGCTTCCAATCGCTTTCATGCCGATGATGGGCATGACCATGGGAGCGATCGGCCTGATTCACATGATTCACGAGATCTTCCCTCGAGTAACGACGTGTCGTGGAGCCCATGTCTTCGATCTTTGCGCCGCAATCGGCTCAGCCGCGCGGCAAGAAGCAAGATCGCGACAGCACAGTCTGCAAGACACCTCGGGCTCGTGCTCTTTCACGTCGCAACAGAATCAGTCATCAGATGTCACGTCGGGTTCTCAGGTTCTGAGAGCACACGTCGAAGCAGTCTCTCAGATACGAGTACTCTCTGTAGTAGCCTAGCCACCCATCTGGCCAGCAGCTCTGGACATCCCCAGCTCCGTCCCATCATCGTCCACAATGGCTACCTAGGAAATCTAGGAAGATGGTGCATAAAATGGTGCATAAACTTCCGAAGTCTTCGGAACTTCCTCACCATCACCACGACACTCGTAGCCGTCGTGCACTGACTCGCCCGCGGTATGCTGCGGTTCTTACTTAGCGCTTGTGCTGGCCGTTGAGTGGCCAAGGTGACCCTTGCGTATGTCAGGCTGTGGCAGAGAATGGTTTCAGTGATGGCAGCTGGCGGTATCATCAGAACACGACTAGCATCGCTGCGACATGGGTGGCAACAGAACCACTCAGAGTCCTTGTGAAAGAGTGGTAGTGAGTACGAGTAGCCAGGCGGTTAAGCAGATGAAGAATTGTTGCAGCAAGCGGTCAATGCACGCGGCTCGTCCTGTGTCAGCTTACATGTGATCTCGAAAGACAGCTGGGTGCGTGACGCCCTTGCCATACCATTCCTCTAGCCGAGTGAAAGACACCTGAGCTGGCAGAGCTCAGGATCAGGAAGGGATGGCCGTTTTACCACCGGCATCAGCCAGCCGCCTAGCAGGCTCTGCTCAAGAACTGCCACTACACCTCCCAGTACCTGGAGCTAGAGTTTTCCCCCTGAATGTCCCGGTGCTGGAAACTACAAGGCTTCTTGTGGGCGGTAGCTGCCAAGAAACGTTCGCGGTACCAGCTGAGATCACTGCCAAGTACGGCACCTGCGTGCAAGGCGCAATATGTTCCTGCCCCCACACAGGAACTCATCCCAGAGGGTGACAATTGCCTTTGGCCTGTGCCAGGCCTCAGATTCCAACCACCCTTGAAAAGCATAGCTGCAATCAAGGCACAAACGGTCCCATGACCTGGAGAGAGGGCACCGCCTTCATCAGGCGTCCTGACATGGATAAAGAGCCGATGCCTGTCCCAAACCCTAAACCCAAGTCAGCTCATGAGACTCTGAGACACCAAAGCCCTAGAGAGCCCCACAGACTTGCGATTGCCCTATAAGATTTTTGACGCAGGTCCGCCAGGCCTGCACCCAAAGCGATGGAGCAGGAGGCAGTCACTGCTAGACCATAGCTCTGCAGAAGCGCAGACCACTCCACCTGAGGTCGCTATTGATAGGATCACATGAAAAAAAAGCATCTTCGGGTCAGGAATTCCAGTCATCATTTGTGAATGGCGCCTGCTGCGAGTCTACACTCATGTGCAGACTGCCCCACTAGCTCATCGTCAGCTGAGCTGGGGACAGTTGCTCCTGACCTGTTGACGTAGTTGTTGAGCGCGTTGTAGGTCTGATTCAGCCTCGGAGATGCCAGTTCTGCAGAGCCTTCCCCCCCCCCCCCATGCTAACCCCTAAACATCCAGAGCTCTGCATGTCATCTCCAGGGGCCGACCCTGGATCATTTATATTCGTTTTGCTATGATTACTAGCAATTTCTGTGATTCTCTTATTAGTCTGATTATTATTATTCTAAACCCTCAGCCCTAGAGATTCTGATGTGCAGAGATCACTGGGGCACCGGGCCACTGCGCCGCAAGTATCTGCGGGGTGGATGATGCCATCAGCATGAAGGCACAGAGCGGCACGTTCATCGGAACAAAGGCAGACCTGGGCTTGGGCAAGGGCAGAGGTGGTTCAAGGGTCAGGGCCATACTTCCGGGCTGATTTTCACTGTCTATTGGGTTTTTACTGCAAGGGAACCTGGGCTTGGGATCTGAGGTTTCGGAAGCCAAGAATTATCAGAATTGCATGTTTCAGGGCGCTGGCTTCATCGAGGCTGCTGCCGCAACATGGTTTGCAACTACTCGAACTGAGACTTCAAGAGCGGTTTCCGCACCCGAGATTACGCGCGGAAACGCGACATGTAAGCTATCAGAGGGGGCCCCGATTTACGTATCAAAGGGTGAAAGGTAGTTATTCCGTTCGACAGCAGTCGGCTCTGTTGTGAGCTCTATTTTTCACGTTGCTGTGGAGCCCCTTGTCTGGGGGGGGGGGGGACTTTAACGTCCGAGGCTGACACTATGGCAGGCCAGGCCAGGTCAGGGCTAAGTCACACAGTTACAATACATGGGCAACCCCAAACAGCGGAAGCACACAGGATGATTGTCTGGCTTCATTCAAGCCGCATGCGTCCAACCTTCAAGAGTTCCTCGCCAGTGACAGGATGAATGCTGACCTTGGCATTCACTATGAAAGAAATCTGAAACGGTGAAAGCTGTGGGAACTTGGGAAAGTGGGACCTGCGGCTGAGGGACCTCCACGTTCTTCCTTGCTTGCCACATGTCCGCATCCGACACGCCTGACATGCTGCGCCCGGTGCAGTACATGTGGAGGATGCAATCAGCGACCCGTCAGTCACAGCATGGTGCAAGCAAGCCTTCTGGCTTCTTGCCCGTCTCCTTGTACTTCTGTAGAAGCTCCTCCAGCCAAGCACAGTAAGCATATACCGAGGGTCCCACAGGCGACACAGCGGCGGTCGCCAGCGCACCTGCGACTTCTTGAGGTCTTCGCTGGTCAGAAGAAGAGTTCGAGGGTCAATGTAGTCATACATGCCCATCCTCAGATTTGATCTTTTCCGCAGTGCCACGTTTATGAAGATGCATGCTTCACAGGCATGTTGCATCCAAGTTGCAGTCGGCCGTAGAAGGTGGACCTTGGGCAACAGGCTGCTTCGCCACACACTGCATGTCATCCATGTCAGGCCACATCTTGTTGCAGATCTCCGCCACAGCCGCGCGGTGCCCACGCAAATGCTGAAACAAAAATTGCAACAGTATCTTGTACCCAGCCTCCTGAAGTCTTACCAGACTTACTACAGTAGCATCATGCAGTGATGGAGCCACCGTTGATTCAGCTACGCAGCTGGTCGAACTTCGGCGCATCCATCGTGAAGATGGGCCCTGCTTGGGCTGCCCCGTCTGCACGCGCCGGGGGCGCACACAGGGCCAAACCGATGGCACCAGCACCGGCTCCCGCGGCCAAAGCGCGAGAAGCCTCTGCCATTGGCAAATTGGGCAAGTTGGGGCAATGTCAATAGCCACAATAGGCGCAAAGCACCTCTTTCCAAATCAACCTACAGTAGCACTTCGTCTAAACAAATTTTACATACAGCAGGCTTTAGTTTCAGGAACGCTCCTGCGGGCCTTGCCTTGCTTTTGGCCACCGCTGCCCCAGCGTCGAAGAATCCTTGGCTTCGCCACTGAGCGGGGCCCCCCCCCCCCTCCCCCGAGTCAGTAATCATTGTCATCCAATTGCCAACCCATGTTTGTCAAACCATCTTCGATCAAGCGTCTGAGCTTCACAGATCTGATGCCTGGCCGTGCCATTCGCGCCGCTGCTGTCTGTATTCTCATCCTGGAACGGAAGTTGTCAAGTTGTGGCTGGAAAGCCTTTATTGAACGTTATTTCTCTCCTCTGGACTGGAAGCATGACAGAAACCAACATGTCCCTCCCGACCCTCAGCATGATCAGGCATCATCTACGTGCTGGCAAGTGGCATGGCGCTCAGTGGATCGTTCCAAAACAACTGGCACAACTGCAGGGCCAAGACTCTGCAGATCGTGGGGCTCTGTTTGGACAAGCGACGCTCGACAGCTTGCAGACAAGGTGGTGCTGGCCAAACCAATACATGAAGTGGCTGAAGCGTTGCAGCTTGTGTGTCAGCTCTTGTTATGGTGTTTATTGAGGGCAATGCTTCGCCTCTACCCTAAACCTCTGTGCCCGTTGACATGGCAGTGAAGCACGCGCACACACACACACACACACACACACACACCATACAAGCAACAATCTCAGTCACGTACTTTCCTCGAGACTTTGCAGATGAAGTGGGGCCGCATGGGCCTCCTCTTTTGTTGGTGGATCACGATGCGGCACGAAGGGTTGAAGGGTAATGATGGAACTGGGGGTAAAGGCCATTCAGCACTGTGGGATCGAGTGGTCCAGTTTCTTCTCTCTCGGCAGCAGTCCTGCCTCAAACGTCCTAACACCTCAACCTAAGGCCTAAACCCTGAGACCTAGAACAGGCTGATCACCTTGACGGGTAGTTTACAGCTCCTCTGCGTCGTGTACGGCAGCCCTCAGGCCGGCGACATCGCTGGGCAAGGAGAAGCGAAGACCATCCCTGCAGAGCGTTTGAAGCTCAAACACGCGCATGAAAAACAAGATCATGTCAGCGCGCCTGGCACCGCCTGGCTGCAAGATTGCTGCCAAAACAGGCTCGCCAAACATACGAACCTTGAAAGGCTGACAGCTGGCGACTCCAGAAAGATCCTGTTTACAAGGCACGTCTTCGCAAACAAATGCAGATTGGATGCATCATCTACATGACGTCCAAGCCAGTCGCCTCACAAAGCATGATTGCTTCTTATATGCACATAAGTAAAAGATTTGGTTCCTGCAACACATGTCCGAATGAACATGATTCTGTCTCGGACAAGATCCAATGCCCAAGGCATTCTAAGCCCAAGTGGGCATTGCTGTCTGTGATACGGCATCATGATGCATGATGCTTCATGCCACATGCCCCATGCAAGCAGTGGTCCATGCCTGGCTCGTAGCTTCTCAGAATCACGTTGAGCTCGCCTGCCTGTTTTGGCCTTTGATTGCCGTTGAAGCCCAAGCAGAGATCCATGTTGCCCGTGCAAGAAACTCCAGAGTCGGAGCTGCTTCTACATTGCAACCACCTTCCTGCAAAGCCGTTTTCAGCACATCACAGGAAGTCCTCTCGCCTGTTTGGATGCAGAGATGTCTGAAGGCAAAGTTGTGCTACTGCCACAGAGGCAGACAGTCGGATGCACCAAAAGAGAAATTCTCATGAGGATTGTTTGGCGAACATAGTGGCAAACTCCAGCATCTAGCAACTGTTCCAGCCAGGTGACACATGCATGACCCGGGATGCCAGAGCGATCAGCCGGTGACATGCTGGAAACCTGGCAGGCTCTTGTTCGTTGTTGGCTACATAAAGTCAGTGTCCCCTGCGGCAAGAAGTATATGCTGATGCAGCTGCTCGGCAAGCGAGCGAACTTCTGCTTGAAATCGCTGTCGTGTCCAGGCTTGCCAAACCTGCGAGCGAAGCCCGCGTGGAGCTGGGTGCGAGGCTCCAGGCTCAAAGCAGATGCTCTGAAGATCTCTGAAGATTTCAGGCCTTTCGGGCCCGGGTCACATGATGGCGCCGCAGCTTCAGAAGCGCGCGAAGAGCGCCAAAACCTCCACACACCAGATTGCCGAGACATGCGCTCAAGCAATGCTGTGCGCCAACGAATATGACACATTGAGAACCGTGGAGGCACGTTCTTCACAGGGCTTGGGTCGCTTGCGGATGGCTTGGGTATCCTCAGCTCTTGCGCTTGTTGAACTCCCATACGCGATACGCGCCCGGCCCACACCGAGCTCCAGCGTGCGAAGGCCGCTGCTGGCAGAGGCCGCTTGGATTTCGCGCAGCGCCGCGTCGGCAGCCTGCGTGGGAGATCAGCTTCAGGATGTGAACACCACGCTGCTATGGAGATCTATATGGGGGTAACATACAAGTTACATTCAGAAAGAGATGCACTACGGGCCTGCATCCCGCCATGGAGAGAACAGGGGGCAGGTGGGACTCAGAGTCCCGATGTCACGTGCTATCTGCTCAAGGATAGGTATTGGACAGGGAACCTTAAGGTTTGCAGAGGCTGGAAGCTGTGAGAATCGGGCAGGCCGCGGATGCTCATGATGCGCGCTGGCTGGCGGCCTATGCCAAAAGCCAGCCCCGCTGATGCTCATGATGCGCGCTATGCCAAGAGCAAGCCCAGCTGATGCTCATGATGCGCGCTGGCTGGCGGCCTATGCCAAGAGCCAGCCACGCTGATGCTCATGATGCGCGCTATGCCAAGAGCAAGCCCAGCTGATGCTCATGATGCGCGCTGGCCGGCGGCTTATGCCAAGAGCCAGCCCAGCTGATGCTCATGATGCGCGCTATGCCAAGAGCAAGCCCAGCTGATGCTCATGATGCGCGCTGGCTGGCGGCCTATGCCAAGAGCCAGCCCAGCTGATGCTCATGATGCGCGCTGGCTGGCGGCCATATGCCAAGAGCCAGCCCAGCTGATGCTCATGATGCGCGCTGGCTGGCGGCCTATGCCAAGAGCCAGCCCAGCTGATGCTCATGATGCGCGCTGGCTGGCGGCCTATGCCAAGAGCCAGCCCAGCTGATGCTCATGATGCGCGCTGGCTGGCGGCCATATGCCAAGAGCCAGCCCAGCTGATGCTCATGATGCGCGCTGGCTGGTGGCCTATGCCAAGAGCCAGCCCAGCTGATGCTCATGATGCGCGCTGGCTGGTGGCCTATGCCAAGAGCCTGGCCTATGCCAAGAGCCAGCCCAGCTGATGCTCATGATGCGCGCTGGCTGGCGGCCGATGCCAAGAGCCAGCCCAGCTGATGCTCATGATGCGCGCTGGCTGGCGGCCTATGCCAAGAGCCAGCCCAGCTGATGCTCATGATGCGCGCTGGCTGGTGGCCTATGCCAAGAGCCAGCCCAGCTGATGCTCATGATGCGCGCTGGCTGGTGGCATAGCTCATGATGCGGGCTGGCTGGCGGCCTATGCCAAGAGCCAGCCCAGCTGATGCTCGTGATTCGCGCTGGCTGGCGGCCTATGCCAAGAGCCAGCCCAGCTGATGCTCATGATGCGCGCTGGCTGGTGGCCTATGCCAAGAGCCAGCCCAGCTGATGCTCATGATGCGCTGGCTGGTGGCCTATGCCAAAAGCTAGCCCAGCTGATGCTCATGATGCACGCTGGCTGGTGGCCTATGCCAAGAGCCAGCCCAGCTGATGCTCACGATGCGCGCTGGCTGGCGGCCTACGCCAAGAGCCAGCCCAGCTGATGCTCATGATGCGCGCTGGCTGGCGGCCTATTGAGCCAGCCCAGCTGATGCTCATGACGCGCGCTGGCTGGTGGCCTACGCCAAGAGCCAGCCCAGCTGATGCTCATGATGCGCGCTGGCTGGTGGCCTATGCCAAGAGCCAGCCCAGCTGATGCTCATGATGCGGGCTGGCTGGCGGCCTATGCCAAGAGCCAGCCCAGCTGATGCTCATGATGCGTGCTGGCGGCCTATGCCAAGGAGCAAACAACCCCTTGATGTCACTAGTTGATTGCAGAAGTTTCCAAATACAAACTCAAATGCCTATAGCACAAGTTCCAGCTTTGGTATTTGCTGATGCTTTTCCATACGAAATCGCGTTGTGCGTAAGTTGTTCCAACTTCCAACGGCATACTGGTAGGCGAGGGAAAAGCAAAACATAAAGGATTTTTATCTGACTTAGACAACGCACGTCTCATCGAAGATCTCCATTTAGACATAAACACGCTTGTTTCCCGAGCGTTTTTTCAAGAGGAACTTTGAAAATGCATTCGCAAGTGACATGTTTAACAAACCCGTTTTAAAAACACGTGTACTGTGTAAGCACGGGCCAACAGAGCGTCTTACTCACTTTATGATCCGGTCAAGACCCTTTTGGCGGTAAGCTTTCGGTCAAACTCCCTAAAACTGGCACCGGAATGCGAAGAATGATCCTTTTGAATTTAAGGGCCGTGCACGCGGCTTGCTTGTGCCAGGCTTTCTAATCACAACAACAGGGGAATGACTCATCATCTGGAATCCAGATATTGGGTTGTTGGATGAAGCTCAAGCTTTATCATCAAGCTTTATCTGTAGGTCCACTGTAGGTCTGCTTTACATGTAATTAGGACTGAGTCTTTCAGCCTTTCCGGCCGATGCCTGGCGTTCAAGGGACGCGATTCGAAGTCCCGGAGGCAGCGTCGCTCCTGAAGACGGGAAGCCGCGCTGTGGCAAACATCTTCGCACTCTGCTGCGCTGCAGAAACAAGATAACGCAGCTTGCGCTGCGAAATGCAGCAGGTGTGTCGGTACTCTTTCGGGTCGCCTATAGTTGTTCGTGTGTTCTCTTTCGATGACTGGGGTGAAAGATTGGACTTAGAGGAAGTCACAGTCGGAACAAGGTTTCTGTAGGTGAACCCGGAGTCGCGCCAGCCAATTCAATTCGTTAACCTTGTTGAGTGCGTCTGCTTGTGTGTTTTTAAACCCAAGCTGATCCTTGTTCGTTTGGAAAACTAAGGGAATCCTGTTGAGTCATCTTCATCCGATTCCGTATATACTTACTTAGAGTCGGCTAGTGCAAGAACTTCATGCTAGGAAGTTTTCCAGACACCGGGTGTTGATTTGCCCCCGGCTGAAAGACATGAAGCACTGATGAGTCCAATGCTTAGTTTTGAGCACGCGAATGCAATGATGCAGCACTAGTAGCAGGGGATGAAAGGAGCATCAGGAATAAAATGAGTGGAAGCGCTGAAGCAGCCATGCTCTCAGGCATATCCCAAAAGCGCAACGCACGTTCAAGAGGCCATTGGTTCACACGTAGTGTTGCAATGCCATGTTCGTTGTGCCCTTCATACGTGCTTGAGCCATGACGTCCGTCGCTGAAAATTGCGCAGAAGCTTGCAAAGAACATGCTGAATCAGGTACAGCTTTCAATAGCGGAAGCTCCAAAAAAGACCAATGACGACGGGCACTTTGGGTTGCAACTCCGACGACGCACTGACGACGCCCACACGCCGAGCTTCCGCTTGCGTCGAAGGCGCCTTCCTTGGATTGTGGCCTTTAGACATACTACCAACGGCGGCGCGAGCGTAAGCCGTTTCGTGTACGCGGGTAAGAATCCTGTGTTTCGCTTGATGCCCGCCGTGCCCAGGACTGTGGAAGAGAGAAAGTTGCTGAACTAGAAGCGAATAGCTGCGTAGCGCTCTGGTTGAGATTGTTGCAAGTGGCTGCGACGTATGGGCTCTGGAACGCAAGCCCTTTGTCGGGATTGCAGTAGTTGCTTGCAATGTGTCTCAGCTTGAACATCAACTTCGATCTATGCATGCCTGGGGATGGCCATTGGCTCATGCTGCCTTGCTGCGCTGATGCTCTTGTGCGTGTCGCGGCCTAAGTGTGTGTGTGTGTGTGTGTGTGTGTCTGGATGGTTGACCTGTCTTTGAAACACAGACCAAGGAGTGTAGCAACTGAGCGAGTTCCCAGGTGTCAAACCTATGCCCGCAATGAAAGTGACTTCAGGGACTTACTATTTGAAGCAGCAAGCATCTCACTCAGAGCTGGAAGGTTGCAAAATAGAAGCCTGGAAGAGCTGCTGCGGCTGTGGGGGGGCCTTGGCCGATGGCAATGAAGCTGCGACGCACGGGACAGATGGCAGCTGCGAAAACACAGATGGCACAGTGCATGCTGAGACAGGCGGGTAGCATGTAAGCCTCATGTCATCTTGACATCTCGCCGGAGCCGCCGCCAGAATCTTATGCAAGTTTTGCTGTGTTCTATGCAGCGGAAACTGTTCCAGCATGTCGTTCTTGCCTTGCGGCATGTGCACCCACAGTCTTGGCAACTGCCCCGAAGTCACCATAAGTCAGCTGACAGACATGACTCAGTCGAGCCAAACAGCTTCTTCTGCACATTCTCTCTTTAAAGCCCCAGCAATGCAACCTTGAGACGTTGTACTTACTGCCGACACGAGGGTGACAGCACGTAGATGTTAGACACATAGTTGCTGCACTGCCTCTAGCGCACGCTCTGCCAATGTTGCCTAACGCCAATGCAGCCTTGCAGCGTGGACAGTGACAGCACACCTATGTAAGCCCCTACAGGAACATCTACAACTTCCGGACCTCCACACACCACATGTTGGACTCCTTGAACTGGATGGAACCCACCAAGCCCCGCAGCTTGTCACCGAGCAGTGCTACACACGCAATTGCCGACTTCTTGCTTCACTTTGCGCAGCGACATTGACCCTTCCGATCGCTCTCTTGCAGCATGTTGCCGACGTGGAGAGGGATCAGTCTGCCCAATCAGCAGGCAGGAACTTGGCGAGGCTCTGGATCTGACGCAAAGCACGCAAAATAAACGAAACATCAAGCCAGACTGCGGACATCTTCCCATTGAACCCAGGACCCAGAGTTCCCCAGCCCCTGACTGCTTGCTCATGGGGCTGAGGGGAGGGCGCCTCAGATGTGTGGGGGGGGGGGGGGGGGGGCGTTTTCTTGAAGCCAAGAACCAGCCTCGGCACCGCGGTCCGTCTGCGCACCAAGGCCTACCCCAGCACCTGACCGAGCCATGCACAATATTGCACAATGATGCGGGGGGGACCTTCACATGTAGACCTTCAATTCCAAGCTGCACCAGCTGCATGACTCACCCAAGGAGACGAGAAGGAGAATCGCGGTAAGGCTAGAGGGTCAACTTAATTACGGGCCATTTCCTTACAACGTCTATAGGAGGCGACTAGTCATCATAGAACGGGTCATACATACACAGTGAGACCACAATTCGACATCTTCAGTGATCCTCCAATGCGCACGGACTGTTTGAGCTTCTTGGCCCTGAATTCTCCCAACCTTCAAGTTGCATCGATAGTTGTGACGCTATAATATGCACGCTGGGCAATTTCAATCTGACTGTGACGAGTGATTCGCTATTCACATTGTTCGCCCTCTGCCACGGCCCAGCATCTTCAGCCAAAGTGTTGATAAAACGGTCGTGGCAATCATGGGCGCTTGATGCAGAACTCCTGCTAAAAGGTGTGTGCGGGCAACGGTGTGACATGGATGTCCATGGATCACCTGGACCAGGAAACTCCATTATCGAAGCCGATGCATGCCGATGTCGCCGCCTGCCGAAGTTATAAAGGCCAACCAACCCTGCTGCAAGCAAATCTCGTGCTCCTGCGGCTGGAACAAGTCTGGGCGGAGTGCCTGCGTTTCACGGCACTGGCACCATGCAAGATGGGTGCCTGCGACATTCGTAGCGTGCGTAATGTTCGCAAACCCCCTCCTTCTGACAGCAGCTTCGGAACAGGAGCGAGCCTCCCTGCTTCGTGGCATGCACGGACGGCAGAACTGATGCTGATTTCGCTCGGAACCACTCTCGCCACACGCATATCTGACACCAGCTGGAGGGCCCTCTGCCACTGCGAGCATCTTGCACAGGCACTGATTACCGAATTATACGTGATGTCTTCCACAGCTCGGACAGACGTCAAACCTGAGAGCAAGTGAAGAGCGGCCTGCCACCGCCCGGCCGTCTCACATGAGCTAATGGCAGCCTGCAGCGTCACCTCATTGCAGCGTGCCTTAGCTTGTGCGAGAAGAGAGAGCAGCTGCAGGACAGCGCGCCAGTGCCCTTCGCAAGCAGATATGCAGGCGCTGAGCGTAACCTAGGCTGCCGATTGCAAGCGCCAAGAGCTTGGGCAGTTTAACTATAGGTTGCAAAAACGAATCAAGACTCACTACGAGTGCGAGCATCTACGACTATGAGTAGAATCACGTCTGCCCAAGGGCCTCGTTGGGCTTCGATTTTGCTGAAGGCATATCAGTAAGCAGTTGCAAGGCTCTCTTCCAGTCACCGACTTTTCCGCAGGCGCTGATGGTGGCGCTGTGGCTGACTTCATTTGCAGCGACTCTGGCCTGCGGCATTTGTGACAAAAGGCGGAGGGCAAGCTGCCAGTGTCCCCCCTTCTCACTTGCGCTGATCGCCGCACTTTGGCTGATCGCATCCTGCCTGGCCCGAACCACGGCCATGCCGACGAGCAGCTGGAGGGCGATTTCCCACTGCCCACACTTCTCACATGTACTTATGGCAGCACTGAAACTTATCACATCGTGCACTAACCTCGAAGCAGGCATGCAGGCAAAGTGGTGAATGGCCCGTGGCCATTGCAAGCCCCTCTCACATGCAGTGATGACAGCGCAGCAAGTGAATTCGTCTCTTGAGACTCTTCTGCTAAACATGCCTGAGAGCACTCGCGTTGCAAGTTTCCACCCGCGGGCCTTCCCACACGCGCTGATGAGAGAATTGAGGCTAACAGCATTTGCTCGAACAGCGGCTTGCACCATCTCACAAAGCAGCTGGACAGAGGTCTGCCATTGTCCAGCCCTTTCACATGCTCCCATCGCCGCAGTGAGGCAAAACACAGTGGCTTGCACACTGGCCAGGGACATGTAGCCCAAGACGTGCACTGCTCTTTGCCATTGCCAAGCTCTCCCCAAACGACAAATAATGTCAAAGAGCACCTTCTCATCATCAGCCGGAGGGGCATCCGAGAGAGATTGAACAGCCCTTTGCCATGCTTTTGTGTCCTGTGACGGCGTTGCAGCCAACCAACTCGATACCGATTTTGCTGCACTTCCCGCCATGGCCGTGGCGTCAAGAAGGCCACGTCCCCATTCTAGGCTGAAAGGCGTCTGCCGTTGGAATGAGCCCAAACAACTGCATGCCGTCGACGTTTAGGATTTGCCGTGCCTGCCAGTGAACTCACCGTTTGCCCTGCCTGCAACCCTGTGAAAAGTGCATCCGCAAACCGCGTCAAACTGCGACCATCCGCTACGACTCACAACCCTTTGCTAGGCCTCGGTCTGCACTGGAGGCTGGCTCAGTTTGCCCGGCCTAAGTCCAAGCAAGGGAGCAAAGGTTGAATGTTGGTGCAACTTCTTAATATGCTTGGTTGCACAACGTACCGAAGGTGTGGAGGGTCTTGCTGTGAAAAGCCGAGTTGCTTCTTGGACTTCGGCATCGGGTAAGGACCTCAAGAGGACAGCCGGAGTTCTGTGCAGGAAAGATGCCGGGCCCGTGCTTTTTGTTTGCGTGCTCCCACCTACTTTTCGACGCAAACCTGTCCGTGACTTACAGACGGCTGCCACACCTCTACGGCCGCAGCTGTCTTTACACGATGATGCTATCCTCCTGGGCAGTCCAAGTTGCGACACTACTGGCTTTGCCAGAGCGCAACTAGGCCGCCCAAGATTGCCCAAGAGTTCATGATATTTGGCAAGGATCACAAGCCAAGGAGTTTCGGCAGGACAGCACGAGACAGGCATTGGAGTCGTGGAGGCAAACCTGGCAGCTTTGCTAAGCTGTTGCAAGCTGCAACGTCGCAAGACATAATATCCCCCATCATCCGGCAACTCCCCCACAAACTTTCAAACTGCCGGCGCCCACAGATGAAGGGAGCATGTGGTCCTCCAAGTCCGGCTCGCGGGGCATAGCCTGCAGCTGTTTGCAAAGCGAATTCTGGGTTTCAGGGGCTTTGTTGCAAGCAGGCAGGCCCTGGCAGGCCCTGGCAGGCCTCCTGGGCATCGACATAAGCACGGAAACGGCTTCGCTGGCTGACCTTGACTCGGCGATGATACGAGCACATCCATAGAGCCCCACGCCAAACCCTTCGCTCGAAGCTTGAGATGGCCCACACCAAATCCTTGCTTCGGCGTCGGTACTTTCAGTATTCTGTATTCTGCTGCCTGTTTGATGCCGGTCCTCAACACCGAAATGCATGTGCCTTTTTTCTGCCCAACACAGCTACGAGCCCTTGTGCAACGACGACCGCGATTCCCCTCTGCGACTCTGGGATGCATTCACCGATTTTTGAGCGAGTGCTGCCCATGTGCAGCACAATCTGCCAGTGCCAGAATGCGACTGGACTCGACGGGCCCCTAGCGCATGATTCGATTCCGAAATGCTACTGTAAAGAACGACTCCCACAGTACTGTACGTACCGCCACCAGCCAGTAGCAACTGTCATGGCGCAACGCGATCTATCACGAACTGGCAAGTTCCATTTAATGGCGCATGCTTGGCCTTGCAATCATGGCACATCCTGGCACTGTCCATGTTCTTTCTCAGTGTAAGCCTGGTCGACAAGCAAAGCGTATAGAACTTGGAACCACAGGATCGCTTCGGCAGCCAATTTATTCTCAACGCAAGCAGCCGCTCAGCAGCGTGGCTTCCCAAAACCACTGCTTGTGTCGATTGTCACCTGGAGATGAGATACTGCATGTTTACGGGTTCGAGCATGTTCGAGCCGCCCCTATATGCCCCAAACTTGTTCGTGCGCATGACCTCCTGGACAATCAGTCATGTCAAGGTCATTTCCCCCTTCTGGCCCCAATCTCTGCAGGGTCCCGGAAACGTCTGGGCACCCAACACACAGTTCCCTCAACACACTCACAACCCCGATAACCTGCCATCAATAGCAAATGCTTGACACCAACTCATCCAGCATCCAGTCTGATTGGGCTGGATACAGGAGGGCAGAGAGGGGAGCCCTGTTGCAGCCCCCCCCCTCTCCCCTCGCAGTCGCAACGGACATCAACATGCATGAGTTAGGGTTGCATGTCCTGACACCCTTCTGGTCATGCATAGCCTGCAGACAGCGTGATTGTGCGGGGGCTATAGCATAGGGCTGATTCTTCAATGTGCGACTGAAGGATAGAAGTGGGCCCGCAAGAGCTCAGGTCTGGGCAGTTTGTGGCTCGGTCTCCAAGCCACGCTTGCGGAATTGGTCCCATCCTCTCCAGACCAGTGAGAAGAAGTCAAGCTTGCAAAAGCATAAGGCAACGCTGTGCCTTGGAGGATGGTCCGCACAACCTTGCAGAGATTGGTGGTCATTGAGTATGACTCAGTGGCCCATCTTCAACTTCCCTAACTTTGCCTCCGCGGAGAGGCGCTCGTGAGGGATATCGGCACCATCATCATGAGCGTGGAGGAGAGTCAAGCAGCAGTCCTGCCCCCCACCCCCCCACCCCCCCAAAACCGCCCCTCTCTTTCGGCGTGTATCGCTGCAAAAAAAACTCAAAGACCGCAAAGACATCAGCAGTGCCTACTCTTGCGAATATGCAAGCATGAGCAGCGTGCTTTACTGTTGCTGTTGCTGTTCCCGCATGGCTAACTGTCAAAAAACCCGATTTGCAGTCCCCTCCAGGCCTCCACCAACGCATCTGTGTCCACATCGCCATCGCCCTGGCCCCGTTGCAAGACGTTTGCTCTTATGGTGCAAGGGGTGGAAGCTTCATGGGACTCACCTTTTGCCTAAGCATGACAGCACCCCCAAAAAAGCCCTCACGATGTCAATGAACCTCCCCAGCAACAGTCGAAACCGAGTGCCAGCCACGAGATTGCACGTGCACTTTGATTGGATGCACGGAGCTTCTGGCAACCGATTTCACAAACCCTTTTCCTGAGCCCCTACATGAATCAATGACCAAGCGCGCCACATGCATGAAGTCCAGATTCGCTTTTGCGAGGAGTGATTCAACCTTCACGCAGCAATGGATTGGTCCCTCCTACGTCCTGATCAGATCCCCGTTGCGATCCGTTGGGGGTTGGGCACGTTGTTCTAGCGACGCTCTTGCAAAAAAAACTAGTCGCCCACTTGAGTGTTAGTCAGAATGGTGGCTCCGAAAACAATGGCTCTTTTCGTGTTCCCACAGCTCACGTTCCAACAACTGTTTGCTGCACTGCTTCCAAACTACCAACTTCGACCATCATGATGTCAGCTGTCTACAGTAGGTCCTTTGGCAGTCGTGCAGGGGCAAACTAATCATCGGCAGCCTCCTCTGAAACGCGTCGGCGAAGTTCCGTGGGTATGGTTGCGGATCCTGGCACGAAGATCGGCAGGAACGCTTCTCTACCCCTGCTCAACTTGCAACCTTGCACGTATGCGTGCTCACTTTCAGAACATGGGCGCGAGCCTGACAGTGCCCGGGGAGTCAACACCTGGCCCATGGAAACAGGGAACCGCACCATCTGCACCCACGCTTTGAACCATGAACCGCAAAGTTTCCACTGCCCAGCATCGCCCTATGAAGGCCTCTGGCGCGGGAGCGTATGCATCCATGACAAAGGGCCGCGCCTGTCGCCAGTCAACTGCAGCAGCTATATATTGCAGCACTCAGGTAAGCTGGCACTTGTGCGATATGGGGGGGTACCTTTGTGGGGTCCTTATTATAAGGGGATCCTACCATTTGGTGGGTCCCATGTTAGGGGTGCCCTACGTTTGCAAACTCCCATATATTCTGGGTACCAGGCAGGTTCCTCGAGGCGAGGCAACGTGGCAGACGGTGTCTCCGCGGAGGCCGCGACTCGATCAGCCACTTCCTGGCTCTCCGCATCTGACCTGCGTCGGAGGGAATCTGCAACTTTACGTGTCCTACCTCTTAACCTCTGGGACTATGAAGTACCTGTAGGTTCTCGAGAAATGGGCTCAACATACTTCAACATACTTGGCTCATCCGATCTTATCCTTTTCATTCTACTTCCAAACTGAGTGTTTGTGATCGTGTAGACGTCTCAGTCAATGTGTTTAGACTTGTTTTGAATATTACAGGCAAGCGGATGCCTACCCAAGGAAGGAGTGGACTTGTCCTTTGGGGAATCCGGCAGTCGGGATCTCGGCTTCGTCTTTGCTCTGCTTCTTCCGCTCTGCTGGCTTTTGTTATCGTCTTCATATTTGTCCTCCTATCTAGGGGTCGGGGCTTAGGCTTAGACCCTTTTGTTTTTTCGCTTCTCCTCCCCGGGCAAGAGAAATTCATTCATTCTTTCTTCCTTTCGAGGGGCTTGAGGTCAGGGTTTCCCCCGCCGCCGCGCAGCAGGTGTTCGGTGCGGCTGGACGTTCTCTTTCTTTCTTTCTTCTTCTTCTCCACGCTCAAGAGGGTCCCCCTTTCTCTCTCTCTCTCTCTCTCTTGCGCGCTCTCTCCTCCTCCTCCTCCTCCTCCTCCTCCTCCTCCTCCTCCTCCTCCTCTTCTTCTGCGGGGCATGAGGACCGGGATGTAGCTCGTACCCCGCAGCGGACCCCGCACACATTTCACGCCCGAGTTCTTGGTCGGCATGAGTGAGAGAGGAAAAGAACAGCATTACTGTAGAAGGCTGCACACAGGATGTCCCCCTGGGACAGGGTGGGATCATGACAAACAATCATGTCCTGCCTTGCTTCCTGATGGTTATACTATTTTCTTATGCTTCTTCTTCTACTTCTTCTTGTTGTTCTTCTTCTGCGTCTTCTTCTGCGTCTTCTTCTGCGCACGAAAGGGCCCCTCCGCACGGAGGAACTCGGCCGCTTAACCCCTCTCTGTTCGAGGGTCTCGTTAGATACAGCCCCAGATGCTATTCATCCAGGCCAGTCGTTTCTGAGGCGTCACCGGAGCTTGCATCCTCATGTAGCCTCCACGGAGTCCGTGTCCAGCTCATAGTCGGTTCAGTTGTTTCCACTGGGTCCACGAACATGTCATCGTCTGCGACGTCCATGGGCCTTCTGCGTGCTTCAGGAGCACCGAGGCTGCTGCCGTGTATTTTGTGGTGTGGCTGGCGGAGTTTCGGATCTTATCAGCTGCCCGGAAAAAAACAAAAGGGACGAATACATGTT